TGAAGAAGTAATATAGATAACTATATAACAATTGTAAGTAGAGTAATTCAGTAACTTTGCAGTACAGAAATATAATTCATTTCTCTCTCTCTCTCTATCTTTCTATCTCTAAAACCTCTTCATCTTCTCTGTGATATTACATTACTGCAACTTAATATGTTGCTTAACAGCCCACCCCCGCCGAATTGGCTTGGGAAGCAGCTGCCTTGTGTAGGCCTCCAAACCTTCTCCAAAAAGTCTCCAGTATGTTATGTGGTCCTTGTGGAAAGGGTTGTGTCTCCCTATATAAGCCACCAAATAAATATGCTACTTAGTGCCAATTAGATCAATAATGTTCCTCTGAATTGGGGACCTATTGAGTGTCAGCATATATTGCTGGAGCTTTTACCCCTAAATAGATAAGCCAAACAAAAGAACCCGCAGTGGCATAAGTGATCACACATGCTTCATATTGAAGCAACATATCCTTCACTAGTTTTTCTCAAATTCATATGAGTTCACTACCAGCCTTGGTATTCTGAGATGTGAACAATTTTTGTTCTTTTACACACAATGTTGTTCCCATATCCTTCTGATTTAGTACTTACAAATAATTATGTACTTATTTCCAGGCCATATGTGGAATATAAAAGCACGGCTCCACAAAAAGATATAGCAAGTAAGCAAAAGGAGTTGGAGGTACAAGCTAATGAATTAATATCGAGGGTAGGAAAAGTGAGTTGCAATATTTCACTCAAATACGGACATAGAGAGGAGGAAAGTGAGTTGCAATATTTATCTTGATGCAGTAACCAAGGCTCTCATGCATGTATTGGAATCTACCAAGAGTCTCATGCATATTGGAACCATCAAATATATTTAATTGAGTTTTAGAGCAACACAAATAGTTAAGTGGTCATTTAAGAACATTTTAAATATTTTTGGGGTAGAGCAAAAGTCCAATTCGGACTAGAGTTTCATGGTGTTGTATTCCTTATAAATATATGTACTAAACCCTTGAGAAAGGAGACGGGAATGAATTAAAATTTATTTTGCTTTGTGCAATTGAAGTGAGTGATTTCTCCTTCTCAAATCAAGCATTTGCTTGGTCGTGTGAGCGAATCCACGATTAGCAACGTGAGCGAGCTCCGTTGCCCCTAGTTGAGTGATTCCCAGGTTATCTATCCCTTGTCTTTTCGAGACCCTTGGTCTTTCCTGCATCAAGTGGCATCAGAGCAGGTTTTCCGCTGCAGTTAGAAGATTATGGTTGATATTTTTCATCCGTTTGAACATCAAATGGTTGAAGAGATTAGCTTGGTTGATTGGAATTCTCCACCAGTTTATGACAAGTATGTTGATGACGACATGGAAGAGATTAAGAGGATGCATCGACATCTCACTAATCAAATTTCTCGCATCAAAAATCGACGACGAGGCGTTGTGGTTTCCGAAGGGGAGGGAGGCATTTGTTTGCAATGTGTTGACCATTTTCATGATTACGCTCCGTGGTTTGAGTCAACCGAAGAAGGAGATTGTTGTTCAGCAGTTTACAATGAATTGGCACAAGATACAGTTAGTTTGAATTATCTTAGTTCAAATTATGGGTGTGAAAATATTGAGGCTTCGTCTTTGATTCATTTGAGTATGCCTCCCTTATTTGATCGTTGCTTGAGTAATTGTGAAATTTGTGATGGTTTTAGCTTGAGTAATAACAAAAGTTTCGGTGGGAGAGAAGAAGGGTTTTCATCTCACGAATCTTTGAAGGAAGTCGGTGACGTTGCTGAAGTGGGAGATATCAAATTTCAAGATATTGTTGATGTGAAAGAAGATACTACTTATGAATACATTGATTTTATTGGTTTTGATATTTTTAATTGGAAGGCTTCTCAAGTTTTAGTTGATTTAGTCAATCAAATGAAGATTGATATCAGTTGGATTGCAAGATTTTTCATGGAGCATGAATGCAGCACTTCAAGAATAAGAAAATATTCCAAGTACTTATTCACGTGGAAAGCCAAAAATCAATTTCAAGATTATAACGGAGTCAACAAAGATTTAAACTCGAGGATGAGTTTCTTCAAAGAAGAGGAGAATGATGCAGTAACCAAGGCTCTCATGCATGTATTGGAATCTACCAAGAGTCTCATGCATATTGGAACCATCAAATATATTTAATTGAGTTATTGTAAACCTATAAATCTTTTTCGGGTTTTTGAAGATTCTGCCAAAAGCGTAGCAACGGCTGTAATTTGTTTGTATTGTGTGCGTGTATTCAGTATTTTATTAAACAGTTCCGTTTAATTAGTATATTGGGAATCCATTGACACTCCACAGGCATAGACTAGGAGAGCAGTTTGTCTCGCACGAACGAGGCGAAAGCATCGCCATCCTCATTTGGATTTCCTGGTTTCGAGTTTCGATTAAGTCTCGAAACTCTTATCGGGCAGCTGGAAATCGCCAATGCCATGCCTGTGGCGTGTACTAGGAAAATGCTTGTGTGGTCCACAGGCCGCACCAGAAAATGCTTGGAAAGCATCGCTTCAAGTTTCACAATCTTCCTACATTTTAGATAAACTTGCAAATTCATTGGAAATGTACAAAAGTTTGGATTACACTTTGTTTTTCATTTGGGTGCTTAAAACTTTCGATAAACTTTCGATAAATTTTTAGTTGTGACGAGAACACAAGTGGTACATCACATGTTTTAATATAAGTGGTGGGAAATTTTGTATTTTAAGTTGTTAATTTTTTAGTACACATATCTCCTTATTTGTATAATGACACGTGATGTACCATCTCGTGTATTAATCACACTGAAAAATCTCTCAAAACTTTCGTTTACATTGACAAACGATAAGATCATAAAAATTATAAAAATTATTTTAAATTACAAGAATGAAGATTCGAACTTAAATATCAAGACATAGCACGTTGTTTTAATCAGCTTGCCTGAACTCGTGTTTACGGTCAAAAAGTTTGTGTCGGCTCTTATTTTCTCTGGCTTCAACTTTTCTCTTGGGTTGAAACGTGGCTTCTCGTTAGGGTTTTGACCAGGTCAAATCCACTGATAAACGCGGAAGGTTGATTGGGGAAGTTTGAAGCCATCTCTCGGTCATTTACTATCGCACCTGATGACCTATTAACTCAGCCAAAATCGACCGTCTGATGGAGACATTGGTTGACATTAGCCAAATTAGAAAAATGAAAAAGCAAAGAAGGACAGAAGTTACGTATTGTAACTCGTCTTAGAGCATCTTTAATGGAAGTTCCTACTTAGGATTTTTACTATCATTTTCAGGACTTATTTAAGAGTTTTAGAGCAATATTCGATTTCCTAAAAGAATATTGTCTACAATGAAAACTTCTTGTAGTATAATCCCTAAATATAAGGACTAAAAAAATATTATTCATTTCATTGAAATATTGTAACTATTGATAAAAATAAAAATCTATCTCTAACACTGATTTTTCAAGATTTTTTTTAAAAAAAAAAAAAGGCAAATGAGAAGTTGCCCACTTGGATGGATTCAAAAAACAAGGAAAAAAACATAAAGAGCAGCACCATTCCCACTTAAAATTAATTTGGAGTCAACTATTTGAGTCCTTATATGTAGTCTTCATATTTGAGAATTCTTTTGAGATATTCGGCGAATTCATATGTATTTAAATACTTTGAGGTCTTTGATTCCGGCCCATTGGAAGTCATTTGTCCCTATATTAAGGGACTATATGGTTGCAGGGACTCCATTTAGAGTTTCCATTGAAGATGTTCTTAGGCAAATTAGTTAGAGTTGTGTCCTTATTTCTCTAAATCCAAATCAATTTTTTTTCCCATAGTTTAGATGATTTTTTTTTTTTTGTTTTGGTGAAATAGGATAAATGAATCTTATGTGGACTGTTTTATCGTTTGTTAACAAAAAATTAACATACAGATCTCAAAAAAACTTGTGGTATATCTTGACTCTACAATAAGGTAAACTCCTCTCTGTTTAAACTTTTATTAACCAAAACAAATTAATACGAAGATAATAAATTATTTTCAAATTAAGAAATTGAAAAGAGCTTTATCGGAGGAATTAAATTATTAATTTGAAAAATTATAATAACATAACAAAATACCACGCTTGTACTTTAGATGTGATCCGTGGGCTAGGCCAACTAAAACATTATATGAATAACATGTTACTTACAATTGCAACAAGTTGTCTAGTGGTAAGGACGCGAACTACGATTCTTTAATAAACAAAAAATTTGGGAGGTTCCAGGTTTTATGCTCTGAACTGGTGAGTTTGCTTGACTGTGAACCCGAGCTCGAAAATGATTGATAATCGTGACTTGCCAAGCTTAATTAAGTTGGTTGGAGTAACGTGCTTCCTTTTTGCAATCAAATTTGAATTCTCGTTCTTGTTATTTAAATAAATTTAAACCCTAAACCTTAAAGCTCACTTCTAGTATAAATAATATCGTTAGTTAAAAAAATAAAAATAAAAGAATAATATAATAAGCATAATACAATTGATGAATGACAGAGTTCAAATGGAACTGGGAAAACGGCATTACCGGTAAGAGCACGAATAGACAAAAAGCCAAAATGCCAGCCAAACAAATTCCGCTAATTTCAGCAAAACCCCCTTCCTCACCATCCATTTCCTTCTCCCGCCCCCTCCCCCTCCCCCTCCCCCTCCCCCTTTTATGTACCACCCGGATACAGATTCTCCACTCCACTCACACCTCTCTCTCTCTAAGTCTCTCTTTTTCTCTCAGATCTGCTGTTTGCTTGCTTTTCTGCTTTTTCTTTCCAAAGTCATACCCTTTATCACTACCTCTTACTACCCAATAGCCCATCACTCTTTTTATATAGACCTTTACACACACACACACACATATATATATATATATATATATGTTGTATAGCACTAGCGGCATTCTGGGGTTGTTTCCATTGCTCTTCTGGGGGCCTCTTTGTTGAAGGACAACTGGGCCAGGTGGGTTTTCAATCCCAACTCCGTTTCTTCTTGTGTTTCTTTGATAAATGTATGAATACATAAATTACAATTCACAAATAGTTATTGGGTTTTGCTTGAACCATATTTTCTATGTTTCTGAACCTTTTATTTGATTAAGTTTGCTTGTTGTTTCACCCTGTTGGGTTTTTTTTTTATTGCTTCTGCAATTAAAAGAATCACTTTTGGAACCGTATGTTTATTGCCAAGTGTTGATTTTTCGATGGAGTAATGAGGATATAAGTATATTATGATTGCTTTTGTTCTTTTTTGAATTGTCATAATTTCTGTATTTTCTATTTTCCTTAAGCTCCAAGTTTAGTTCCTTCTCTTTTTCACACGGCGATATTCTATTCTAAACTATTCTAATGTAAGGGAAGGGGGATTCGAACTTGGATGCAACGGGCCAGTCACACTGCCTGGTTCTAACCTTTTTAGTTTCGTTCTGTTTTCTTTAATCATCTAGTTTATGCAAGGGGACGGAGTTTCAAACTATGCCCTTCGTACAACGGTAAATGTTCTTGATCACTAGAGCTATTAGCCCCCATAAGCTCCATGTTTAGTTGATCAACTCAATTTATTTTCTTGTTGTGAATAAGCATTTAAATTATTTGTATTGATCATTGAACTTGGAGATCTATGCATTCTTGTGGCTTATAGCTCAGAAAATTCACTTTCGGTGTTTCACACATCCACACAAAGGCACACACTTTCTACATCATTGTCATAGATAAAAGAATTTGAAGTTAAGAAGCTGTGTATTTACCGTTTTTCTTTTCTAGTTATATTAACGGATCTTCAAGTTTTCCAATGTATCACCATTTAAACTATAACAACGCACTTCAGAAAACAGTGGTTCAGTGATGAATTATAAGTTCATGTTATTTGGAGAAAATTCGGTATTTGTGCAATAAAGATAACCAAATCAATTCCAAGTTGATACATTGCAAACGTTTGATGAGTTAATGAATAACCTAGATGTTTGTATGTTTTCATCTGTAGATCATGCTAGGAGAAACTATGGTTAAACCTGAAGGAGAGCTAAAAGTAAGCTTTGGCTATCAATGCAATAGCAACAGAGGCAGTTTTTGTGAGGATTCCGGTGAATATGAAACCCTGCCTGAATTCCGAAGGAACAGTAGTTTCTCTTGCTTGTCTGGTGCTGCCTTAAGTGCAAATGCCACTCTGGCAAACACAAATATCTGCAATGGTTTGATAGGGGCAGAAATACTTCCTAGTTGGGACTCTCCTAATTCATTTCGTAGAGTTCCCTCTTCACCGTCTATGTCAAGGTTGGATATATTATCATCTTCTTTTCAGAGTAGTATATCGAACTTAAGTTGCAGTCCATCTACGCCTGATTCTGATTCTTACTTAATGAAATCCACGAGTCCTTCCAGAAATGATAGTTTTCTTAGTGGCATGGAAGTGCAAGTGGCAGGTGGACCTGCTGGTGAAGACAGGGTCCAAGCTGTTTGTTCTGAAGAAAATGGGTGGCTCTTTTGTGCAATTTATGACGGTTTCAATGGAAGAGACGCAGCTGATTTTCTGGCTGGGACACTGTATGAAACCATTGTATTTCACTTTAATTCATTAGACTGGGAATCAAGTCAGGAATCCAACAAAGCTTCTAATGATCTAGATATAGATGAGTCCCTTCCATACATAGGAGATGATACTACTATTAGCGGGGAAAGATTTTCATCCAGAATTTATGCACACAAGGATTCAAGTTTTGACAATACCTCTAAGAATGCTCCATGTGCTAAAGTAAAAACATTAACTGATTCGTTTAGGCATGGGGTGCTTGATAGCCTCCAACGAGCTCTTAGTCAGGCTGAGAATGACTTTCTATGCATGGTTGACCAGGAAATGGTGGATCGCCCAGATTTAGTTTCTGTTGGGTGTTGTGTTTTAGTTGCACTTCTACATGGGAAGGATTTGTATACACTTAATTTAGGTGACAGCCGAGCTGTATTGGCAACATATGGTGATGGTTATTTAATGAGTGGGAGTGATAGGTTAAAAGCTATCCAGCTCACTGATAGTCATACAGTTGATGACGAAAGTGAGAGAATGAGAGTTTTGTGTGAACATCCTGACGATCCCATGACCGTCGTGGCTGGAAAAGTAAAGGGGAAATTGAAGGTCACTCGAGCTTTTGGAGTTGGTTACTTGAAAAAGGTGGTTACTCTTACTGTTTAACAATTATGCACCAACACCACGTAGGATAAAAAGAAGTTTTTTAGATGAACTGACTTTATCTGGTGTATTTAAAACTTATGCCCCTTCATCATTATCATTATATTTTCAATTAGTGGTGATTACTGATTCTATTTTCTTTTCACTTTTGCGCAGAAAAAACTGAATGATGCATTGATGGGAATTCTTCAAGTTCGTAACCTCATAAGCCCACCATACGTTTCCACTCAACCAGCGTTGAATGTGCACAGAATATCAAAATCAGATTGCTTTGTAGTACTTGGTAGTGATGGCTTGTTTGACTTTTTTACGAATGACGAGGCAGTAAAGCTTGTCCATTCCTATATCTTGAGCAACCCCTCCGGCGACCCTGCTAAGTTTCTGCTCGAGCAGCTTGTAGTGAGAGCAGCCAATTCTGCAGGTAGAGTTTTATTATTATTATTATTATTATTATTATTTTATATATATTGTTGTCATTCCATCCAAATCCCTTACAAGTTTGCTTTGTATCTGATAGGGTACTTTTATTAAACACAAAGCTAACCTCAATCAGTTTAACCAAGATAGAGAAGCAATTGATTTGTAATTGCTCGTAGTTCTCTCACTTTCGGTTTCTCTGCTTTTAGATTGCTTCTGTGGCGTATGTGGTATTATTATCTTACGACCTCTTGCATTTGTTGAAAGATAACAGATCTTTCAGTTTAAAATAAGTTGTCTCAATTTAATTTGATGCTGTTTGTTAACTTCTCGTGTAATGTCCTCTTAATTGTACGTTGTTGGTAACAAAACTCCAGTTTTGACACAGATTTCTTCCTGAAATCATATTGATTGAAACATTTTAAGACCAAATTTAACTTAGATGATATTTAACACCGATATCCATCCGTCCACCACACCACACCCTAAGGCATGCATTCACATTTGCTTCCAAAATTTGGTATTCTGAAGTCTTCCAAAAGTAAATACCAATACAGGGTTGGTTGCATTTAGCCCTTTAGTATGGTTTTCGTTTGCCCGGCCATTAAGCACATTATGCGTTCATTGCAGGTCTCAGCATGGAAGAACTCATGAACATTCCGGCAGGAAGGCGGAGGAAGTATCACGATGATGTAACAGTAATTGTGATTATGCTGGGTACAAATCAGCGCACGACAAAGGCATCAACTTGCGTGTAAGATTATTTTTCGTGGTGTAATGGAATGATTGATATTTTTGGCAGTCCAGAGTGGTAGGTTTCAAATTGTATATAGTGGATGTCAGATATACTTTGCTCCTGCTCTACAATAATGTTTTCAATTTACCAAATTTTGCTTGGCAAAAGACTGCTTAATTGCATTCATCTGCAGGCTTGTTCAAGAAGGGCAAATAAATTATATAATTTTTTCTGCAATTTTGGCAATTTTGCTTGGCAAAAGCCTTATCCCACTAAATAAAGTGGAGTCAGCTGATGAATCCTAGAATGTCAGTGCGCTCAATTTTGCACCAAGTCTTCTGTTAGCTCCAAGTACTTCCATATCTTTTCTTATGAGATTATAACAATCTTTTTCTCCCTCATGAATGATACGATAGACGTTGGTCGTACCCTGTCAAAAGGGGAGCCATGCTGGCTGGGTTGCCCATTATGCTCTTATCAATCAAGAGGCGAAGAAAGCTGTGAGAGAAGCTAAGTTAGCGGCTTACGACGATATGTATAAACGACTAGATACCAAAGAAGGAGAGTTGGATATCTATAAACTAGCTAGAGCAAGGGAAAAGAAGACAAGGGACCTAAACCAAGTGAGGTGCATCAAGGATGAGGATGGAAAAGTTCTTGCTACAGAGAATGCGGTTAAAGACAGATGGAGAGGTTATTTTCATAATCTTTTCAATGAAGGACATGAAAGGAGTGCTTCTTTAGGGGAGTTGAGTAACTCAGAAGAGTGTAGAAACTACTCTTTTTATCGTCGAATCCGGAAGGAAGAAGTGGTTGTAGCTTTGAAGAAGATGAAGCAAAGAAAAGCAATAGGCCCAGACGAGATACCAATCGAAGTGTGGAAAGTTTTGGGAGAGACAGGTATAACATGGCTCACTGACCTTTTCAATAGGATTTTGAAAACGAAGAAGATGCCAAATGAGTGGCGAACAAGCACTTTAGTGCCTATCTACAAGAATAAGGGCGACGTACAAAATTGCATGAACTATAGGGGTATTAAGCTAATGAGTCATACAATGAAGCTTTGGGAGAGAGTCATTGAGCATAGATTGAACTGTAGGATTACATCAAGGCTCATCCTTAAGTCCTTACCTTTTTGCGTTGGTAATGGATGAGTTAACAGGACATATTCAAGATGATATTCCTTGGTGTATGCTTTTCGCAGACGATATAGTGTTGATAGATGAAACTCAGGAAGGGGTAAATGCAAAGCTTAACCTTTGGAAAGAAGTGTTGGAATCTAAAGGTCTTCGCCTAAGCCGATCAAAGACAGAATATATGGAGTGCAAGTTCAGTGCAAATGGAGGCCAAAACGAGTTAGGGGTGAGGATCGGTGATCAAGAAATACCAAAGAGCGATCGTTTTCGTTACCTAGGATCTATCTTGCAAAAGAACGGAGAATTAGATGGAGATCTCAACCATAGAATACAAGCTGGATGGATGAAGTGGAAGAGTGCATCCGGCGTGTTGTGTGACCGCCGTATGCCACTGAAGCTCAAGGGAAAATTTTATAGGACGGCAATAAGGCCGGCGATGCTGTATGGCACAGAATGTTGGGCGGTGAAGCATCAACACGTACACAAAATGGGTGTAGCGGAGATGAGGATGCTTCGTTGGATGTGTGGGCACACGAGAAAGGATAAGATTAGGAATGAGGATATCCGGGGTAAAGTAGGAGTAGCCGAAATTGAAGGAAAGATGAGAGAAAATCGGTTACGGTGGTTTGGACATGTGCAAAGAAGGCCTACTGACGCTCCGATTAGAAGATGCGACTATGGGACAGAGGTTCAGGGCCGAAGGGGTAGAGGAAGACCTAAGAAAACTTTGGAAGAGACTCTAAGAAAAAGACTTAGAGTACTTGGATTTAACGAAGGACATGACACAGGACCGAGCACAATGGCGTTCTAAAGATTCATGTAGCCGATCCCACTCAGTGACTTGGATTTTCCAAGTCTCCAACCGAGAAGTTTTCCTCACTCAGGAAAATTAAGGGAACACTACCTCAACCTACATGCTCCACTCACAAAGCTCCAACAAAAGAAAATTCAAAGAACTTAGAGAAGAAGGCTTTGGTGTATTTAACACAATACGTTGAAATGAAGGAAAGCTTATTTATTGATATCCCCGATAAGCTACAAATATGTACATATACATGAGTCAAAATAAACAAACAAGAGAGAGCCTTCACAAAGGTTGCTTAGGAGAAGTCGCAGCAGTCGGTAGAGCCCCAGAAAGAGAAGGCACCGGAGGGGGATCATTCGGAGCCTCAGTACTGGACAGAACCCTAGAAGGAGGAGGCATCAGAGGTTGATCATTTGGAGCTTCATTACGCGGTACAGCCCCAGAAGACGAAGGCAATAAATGCCTTTGGAACAAACCCACAAATCTCTGATGATCAAGTAAAACCTGACCATCAGATTCCTTCATCTGGTCCAGCTTCCTCTTCATGTTTGTAGCATAGTCATGTGCGAGACGGTGCAACTGTTTATTCTCATGCTTGAGCCCTCTAATCTCCTGTTTGAGACTCATCACTTCAGCCGCCAATGATTCAACTTGGCGGGTTCGAGCAAATAGGCGTTGGGCCATATTAGACACAGAACCTGCACACTGAACACTGAGAGCCAGAGAATCCTTAACAGCTAACTCATCAGATCGTTTGGAAAGTAGTCTGTTATCTTTGGGAGTGAGAAGGTTCCTGGCCACCACCGCAGCGGTCATATCATTCTTCATAACGGAATCCCCAACGGTAAGAGGACCAGTAGGGGAGACGAAGGATGGGCGCCATATGTTGTCTGGAGAAGGCGGGGCTGCCTCTTCAACAAGGTTCAAGTCAAAACGACGGTCGGAGGGGCCAGACATTTTCAAAGGTGTTGAAGAGAGAAGAGGTCGAACAAATCAAGATCTTAGAAGTGTAAGAATGGAGCTTCTACTGGGGGAGATTCAAGTGTGCTTTGGAACTTAATGCCAGCCCCTATAAAAATCTGCACTCGACGGAGCTTCAGAAATCGAAGAGGCGCCTGCTCAGAAAATCGAAGAGGCGTTTGCTTTCTCAAAAGCTGGGCTGCTCAGAGACCACGAGGGTCGATCTCAGAAATCGAAGAGGCGTCTGCTTTCTCAAAAGTTGGGCTGCTCAAAGACCACGAAGGCCGATCTCATAAATCGAAGAGGCGCTTGCTTTCTCAAAAGTTGGGCTGCTCAGAGACCACGAGGGCCGATCTCAGAAATCGAAGAGGCACCTACTTTTCCAGCCTTGGCAGCACCTGTCACACGCACTCTCAGCTTTGCGGAAATTATGGGCATTCTGTCGAAGACTTCTGGTGAAGTAGAAAGCACATGAGTCTTACTGTTCAATCACCCACTTCCCACACGCAATAGTAGCTCATGTGTATCACAGATAACTTTGCCAAAGTTCTCTGCCAAAGTTGAGCACGTGAAGCTTGCAGCTTCCACTACATCGCTCTGACCAAGACGGGTAAAAGAATAGCAAAGAAACAGCACTAACAAAGTTTAGACACATAAATTTTGAATGTCTAGCTACCCCATATTATTACCCACAAGGGTAAAGGAACAGTATCACTGCTGGATAATTGGAAAGTCCCTGTGTGTCAACCTCTGTGCTTCGTGGCAAGGTAGACTAGCAAACATGCCCAACCTTTACTCACATTCGAGAAAACACTCCCAACAAGATTGCTTGCTCCAAAATCGAAGAGGCACCGCCCTCCGAATCTCGAGAGCCAGACTCCCAACATGATTACCTTCTCAAAAATCGAAGAGACACCGCTCTCCGAATCTCGAGAGCCAGACCCCCAGCAGGATTGCTTTCTCAAAAATCGAAGAGACATCGTTCTCCGAATCTCGAGAGCCAGATCCCTGATAGGATTGCTTGTTCGAAAAACCGAAGAGGCAACACTTTCCCAACTACAAGAGCCGGATCTCCTTGGATAAAGCTGTCTGTAATCTTCACACGCAACATCAGCTTTCCACATACCACAGACCACTTTTTCAAAGTGCTCTGACAGGGTAAAGGAATAGCATTACTACTTGTTGTTAAGGAGACTCCTATATATGTCAACCTCCATCCCCAACGGACAGACAGACCTGCAAAAAATGCTCAACCCTTCCTCATATATGAGAGGGCACTCTCAACGAAGCCTTTCGAAATATTCAGCTTTCTTTCCCCCCGATAATACCTCTGCAAACAAGTTATACTAGAGCAAGAATATCTCATATCATCAGGGTTAAAAGCAAGAGTATCCCATATCATGCTTTTTCCCTGTCTTTTCCTTTGGCCTTGTTCTTACCTGCAAGACAAGGAGAAAGAGAGCAATCAGTCAGCACTTGGAATCAAGCTTCCAGCCAGGAACTGACTGCCTGGAACTTACTTACTTACCTGGCATTGCTCTCGAGTACTCATCTTCAACATCTTATGCTTCCAGGGAAGATACCGCATCTGCCTGAGGAACAGATAGGGCAAGTGAGAAGGATACAAGGAAGCATGTGGAGACAAGCGTAACAGCACACGTGCCGATACATCCATTACTCTGTCAAAGCAAAAGTATCCCATATCAGTAGGGTCGAACGTACTCTAGATTTGATGGACTTGTTTTGACCCTCAAATTCTTCAGTCGGCCTTATACTCTGGAGGAAACCAGAAAACCCTCCAGCTCAGTTCAAGAATAAGCCTGTGGAAAGTTACTTCTTCAAAAGCAAAAGTATCCCATATCATCTCTTCTCATTTTTCTTCTCTTTATCCTTCATGCTGCCTGCAAGATAGGGAGAATGTGAACAATCAGCCGGAGCTCTGATTGCTTACCTTGTCTGTCACCTCTTTCAGCAAATCCCCTAGCTCGGCAACTTGAGGGACTCCTACTACATGGTTTGTATCGCGCTTGACCAAGCCTGAAACTACAAGTAAGCTTCAAGTGAAATTGATACATTACCTTGTGCATCTCCACCAGTTAAAGATACCACCCCTGGATGGAGGAAGAGTACTTCCAGAGAAGATGCCACATCTACCTGTGAGACAGATAAGGCAAGTCAAGACGATACCACATTCCGATACTTAGAAGTTTCGTGATTACGAGATCATTCTCCCACAATATTTTCCTAATGTCATTTGTACTAAATCATTCACCTGTACTCACTAAAGGAAAGCTTGAACCTATGTACTTGTGTAAACCCTTCACAATTAATGAGAACTCCTCTAT